AATTTCTCTATTATTACATGTAATAATATATAATTTCTCTATTTCATTTGGAGATGTGAAAAATGACCCTTTATTTGTACAAGACGTAAGCACGCTATGGCGTCTATTACTCGCGCAAGGTATATCTATAGCCGCGTTCATCGACAATCTTAACAGTGAAAAACCCATAATGGCTGGTATAAACGCTTTGGGTATTGCCATTAAAAATGAGAAAGATTTTATTGCCGATTTCCAGGTTAGTTGCATTATTTTTTAGTTGCTATATGTTCGAATAAATTCTATCGTACAAGTTTTATTATAAAGCCCTTATAAGTATATAATATAATTATGTACACTTTAACACTTGTTTAGTATACTATTAATATATGTATAATAATATAATATATTTATATAATTGTGAGAGCATTAGCAATATATTAATTATTATCATATAGAAGCGATAAAAAGCAGGTTGCAAATATCGAGTTCAAGTGTTCCGATTTTTTTATTGGCGTCTTTTGTCTTTTGTAATATTGTATCGAGGAGCTTTTTGTTGAGCTAATTGTGTCTCTTTGTTTCCTATCTATACATTATCAAATATTATGTTGTAATGTATGATTATGTAATTAACGATAAGTTGGTATTGCTAATCATTACAGTTTAAGTCGAAGAATGCCGAATGGTTATTGGAAATCTTATGTTGTCTAATGAAAATGGTGTACGAATATTACGGAATTGACAAGTATCTATTTTCTTTTGGGCTTTGCGTAGACCCCGTTTATCGAGAGTACGGATTAGGCAAAGATTTTTTGAAATTGAGGTATGACTTGTGTTAAGATGTTAGTTAGTTCGTACATGAAAGATATATGAAGTTATTGATTCTTCGCTACCTAACAGTCCAAAATTCTTTAAAAAGATAAATCTTTTTAGAGCAAAATAGAGCTTTTCTATTTTTTTTAATAATAAATTTCATATCCGTATGATAATCCGTATCAGCTTTCTGTAGAAATGTAAGGAGACGTAATTTTCGTTTCGAACATGCATCCACGGTATTCGGATATGCACTCGAAATGTATAGGTATTTAAAATAATTAACCTTTCAAAACATGATTCGCAGAACTTTTGAAGAGATTTTCACTATAATGTAATCTACTATACTTTCCGAAAAAATCTTTTTAAGAATAAGCTTTTATAAAACTTTCAAAAAAGTTTTAAGTTGATTTGCTCTTTCTTTAATTACTTTTATCGAGATAAAACGATTGCAAATAAATGTGAAAGAACTGTTATTTTGTATGGGAAGAAATTATATTCACCATAAAATTGCTCCATCGTGACTCGATGCCTACCTTCTTCTCCTCTTACAGTTAGACTGTTCTTTCGGATTGTCAGTTTCATTGGGTTCCCTCTTCTGAGCATGCGATACCCTTCGCCTTGCTATTTTCTAAAGCATTTAAATAAACGATTGGATTAAATTAAAATAGGTAAAATTTTTTATATAATATTATATATAAAAAATCAATTATACTCACCATTTTTTCTTAGATTACCAATTCTGTAGAACTCTGCAAATACAACACTCGTGAAAATATAAGTAACAGTAGAGCCATTAAACGACTCGTGGCAATACTGTTATGTCACTACGTTGATAACATACAAACATAAAATTAAAAAAAAAAAAATAAATTTAAAATGATTAACATTTTAAACGATAATTCTTATCGCGGAACTTTTAGTTCACTTTTTAAATAGATATTTACCATAATGTAATTTATTTTCTAAAAAAATTCTTCTTATAAGTATAATAAGATTTTATAAAATTTGTTCGATTGCACTTCCTCGTCGTTGCGTTTTTACACCTTTGGGAAAACCATCTTCTACACTCGCCACATAAGAGCCATTGAGCGTCCTGTGACACTGCTGTGTTAAGAATGCAATGGGTATAGTGAGCTTTCCCATATTTTCCTGTCTTTAAATTTTCAAATCTTCAGGATGCTGAACTGTCCCATCATTTCAAGGTCGCACTCGTTTGGCGAGTCACTCGTTTGGCGAGTTATCGATGAAAAGCCATGCGGTAATTTTATCAAATATAAGCTTCAAAAATAAGCACCAAGTTGCGAGTGTCAACACGTTTGCCGCTGATATGAAATATTTAACATTATAAAATAAATGTAAAATATTTTCTTTAAAATACAAATTAATACCTAATGGCAGCATCACTAAATAATTTATGTCTTTGTTCACTCGGGTATCATAAAGATACTAAAAGAATGATACATGCGAAGCGTTCAACCACTAACACTAACAATAAGTATATGCTAATAATTAAAATTATGCGTGATATTTAAGTATAACGTTTAAATAGATTTGTTTGAGAGACAAATAAAATTTCACTTGCTTTTTTTTTTAACTGTTGGTATAGAATTTGTGCTATCATTAATTCACATGTAAATTGTTAGTTTAATTATGTTTCCCTTCCTTTCAAACAACAATAATTTTATAACGTTCCAGTGCTATCGCGAAAACACATTCTATCTCTTGCGAACACATCTTCAGAATTTTATAGATAAGGTGAATGTAAAAAAAAGGTCACATATACAAACAAGATAAATAGGAAAGACGATAACATATATACATTATTGCGATAGCACTGTATGTTACATCCGTTATTCGTGAGTAGGGCAGTGAGCAATCGGTTAATAAAGCTAGATCATTCAATCAACGGGGGCCGTTTGACGAGCAACGGGCAGAAGTTCGCGCGTCACTAATGTTAAAGTACGTTTTTGCAACGTGTGGACAAAGTGTCCTTTGACACAGTTTTAGACGCAGAAGATAAACCCTAGGTAAAGGCACCATCCATTGGAGCAAATCTACAGAAAGAGACAAGATGCAATGCTTCAGACCGCCGGGTGAGCCACCTAAAGTATGGAAACACATAGAAAAGACGGATAAGGACGGGAAGCTCATGAAGTTCACGATTCAGGAGATACCCGAAGACCGGTACGACGATGCGATTGAACATATGTGCACGTACTTCTTAGCTGATGAACCGACCTGTAGCTGTTTAAGTAAGTTTCATCAATTTTTCGAAAACAGAGCGTTCCTTTAGTGACGGTCTTATTTACGTTCGTGAATTTAATTGGAAGCTAAAAGAAATAATTTGAAGTAAATAAGAAAAAGATCGCGCAAACTTTCTTTTTTAGAATAAATTCTATAACGAGAAGAAAAATAATTATATTTTATAATTACGCGTTGCACCTGTTCTTTTCCCTTAGAGCTATTTAATACTGTAAGTATTCAATTGGTGATTAATTATTTTAATTTTGAATACTAAAGGCATTGATGTTAATCACTAACCAATTTAGTACTTACAGTTAATTAAATTTCTTTATTATTACATATAATAATATACAATTCTTCTATTTCATTTGTAGATGCGAAAAATGACCCTTTATTTATACAAGACGTGATTACGCTATGGCGTCTATTACTCGCGCAAGGCATATCTATAGCCGCGTTCATCGACAATCCTTCCGGTGGGGAACCCATAATGGCTGGGATGAACATTCTAGGTGTTGACGCTAAAAGTCAGGAAGATAAAATGTCCGATTTTCAGGTTAGTTACATTATTTTTTAGTGAATTTTATTACTATGTTTAAATTAATTGTATCGTCCATGTGTTATTATAAAAGTCCTTACAACTGTTACAAGTGTAAATAAAATAATTACTCACACTTATTTAGTACTATTAATATATAATAATATAATAATAATGTAATATAATGTGTAATATTATAATTGCAATAACGTAAGCAATATATTGTCATACAGAAACGGTGAAAAGCAGGTCGCGAATATCGAATGTATAAATATTTGTCATTATATTATAATAATAATTATAGGGTATTTTAATCTTCTTATTGGCGTCCTTCGTCTTTTATAATATTGTGTCGAAAAGTTTTCTATTGCGCGAATTGTGCCTTTTCCTATTTATCCATTATCAAATGTGATTGTGTTGTCATAACTTACGTTTATATAACTAACAATAAGTTGATAATCGTTACAGTTTAAATCAGAGAAGGTCAAATATATATATGAAATCATGGGTGGTGCAACTAAGATGACGTACGAATATTACGGAATTGACAAGTATCTATATGCTTTTGGGCTTAGCGTAGACCCTGTTTATCGAGGTTACGGATTAGGCAAGGATATTCTGAAAATCAGGTATGACTTGTGTTCAAACGTTAGTACGCATATAAAAAATACATGAAGTTATTGATTCTTTGTTTTACTTCTAGTCAGTCTAAAATTCGTTAAAAAGATATACCTTTGTAAAGCAAAGTAGATAGCTTTTCTATTTTTTTCTTGTAATAAATCTTATATCCGTATGATGCGAATAATCTGTCATCCTTGAGCTTTCTTAACTTTTTCGAATTATTATAATTATTTATATTTTATCATTATTAAATAATTACAATATATAAAAGAGTTAATATTTAATATTTTTAAGAATATAGAATTTGACAAATTCTATAGGTCAAATTTTCATTTATCTTATCGACAAATCCCATCTTATCATATTGATAAATTACCCTAACATCATTGATACAAGAACCACTTTATGATTTCGATTAATTTAATATCTAACACGTTGATCAATTTATCAATGTTTCATATAATTTATAAGAAATCTCGATCTAGGTATCTCATCGGACCTAAGTACGGATTACCAGCAACATCCACTGTGTTTACATCGATAATTTCGCAGAGGTCAGCGGCGGGTGTGGGATTCGAAGAACTTCTGACGAAAAAATATGCCGATTTCGTGGATGAGAATGGAAAGGAAAAATTCCCTGGTATTAAATCCAAAGAGTTTAAAGTCATGGCTAAAAGATTTCTCTAATAAGGTCTAATGGACGTGGTGATATTCAAGAATCACGAAATTTATTTTATTTTGTAACTGGAAGTAAGTCTTACATACATTAAGTAAGTTTCTGTTGCAAATTGTTTAATATTCAACGTTACCATGATTACTGTGATTGGAACAAATAACAATTAACAACAAACGTCATATCATTATCGGCTTGTAACATTTTTGTAGAAAAAGACAAGCAGACGTAACTTTCATTCCGAACATCCACGACGTTCGGATATGCACTCGAAATATACAGATATTTAAAATAATTAACATTTCAAAAGATAATTCGCGGAACTTTCAATTCATCTCTTAAATAGATATTTACTGTAATGTAATCTATTTTCTGAAAAAAATCTTCTTAAGAATAAATCTTTTATAAAATCTTTAGATTTTTAAGTTGATTTTCTCTTTTTTTTACAATTATTTACTGATTGTGAGATAAAATAATTCTGAATAAATCGAAAAAACTTATTTTGTATGGATAAGAAATTGTATTTATTCCAAGGTTGCTCTGTCGGAGCCTGATACCTCTTCTTCCTCTTTATACTGTTAGACTGTTTTCTCGGGTTGTCAATTTCAATTGGATTGTCTCGATGTGACACCCCTCCGCGTTGTTATTTTCTAAGGCATTTAAACAAACGATTAGATTAAATAGAAATAGATAAAACTTTTTATATAACATTATATATAAAAATTAATTTATACTCACCACTTTTTCTCAGGTTGTCAATTTCATTAGAATTCTGCCAATAAAACACACGCAAAAACACGAGTAAAAGAGCCATGAATAACTCATGGCAATGCTGCCATGTAACTACGATGAGACTGTAACATATAAACATGAAATGGTGTGTTACCCATCGGAAATATCCGTGGCTACGTAGTTCAAGGTGCACATTTTGTGCATGCAGAGGCGCCAGCGGACGAGTTCTATCTAAAACGAGGACACTTTTAAGTCATTTAAAACTTACAAGAGAGCATTATCTGCATAGTGTTTCCACGTTCTTATCGGCTGGTTTGAATGTCAATATGGATCGGCGGAAAATATGCAAAAATTTACGCAACTAATATATATATAAAAGAATGCTAAAAAACTTATCAACATATAAAGGAGATTTTACATTGCTTTACTTACACGTTTAAAACGTATTTTTACGCTTGTATCTACAATACTATTTAATGTACAATTTATTAATAAATTATTATATTTTGCTTGCTGTTCAATGAGATAACAAAATGAGAAAAAAGTTCTTTTAAATTTTCTTAATTATTAATTATCGTACTTGAAGCGAAGTAGAAAAAGATAATTGCTGAAAAAGAAATAAAGAAAAAAGAAACTTATTAACGGTTTCGAAGAATATTACGGATTACATGAAAAAATGTTTGCAAAAATCCTGCAATTTGAGTAATTTCTCGATTAGTAATTTTTTTATGTACAAGTTAGATAATAGGTATAGTTTTTTCTGTATATACACGATACAAATTTATGATTTTACAATCATTTTTCTCATATGTTAGTTATGTAGATTTTTGTGTTTTTTCCGATTTTTACACGATATATTAGTTGTACAATAATAAATAACAATGAATATTAACCATTGTTTGTTTTATTATGTGATTCTGTTCATGATTGCATGTAACATGCATTTGGATATTACAGAATGCGTGTACGCAAAATATATATGAACATCTGGCACAGACATAATGTAATTTTCATGTCAATATGAGTTACAATGTCTGAATATTAATGAAATATAAAAAAAATATATTTATTAAGATAGACTATTTTCAACATGTTTTGAATATATATTTAATAAAAATAATTTTCAAGAGTAAAATAATTTCAAGAATTTAAAATTTTTGCAAAATTATGTAAAAAATTTTAAAAACTTATGTAATTTTAATCAAATAATGATTTTAAATGTATCTTACAAAAAAATACTATTGTTAATATTCTTAACAAAACAATTTCATTCGTGGAAAGATAAAGCTCATTAAAATTTTTCCTCTATCTTTATCTTCCGCAAAATCTTTAAAAACAACTTACTCTATTTTTCAAATGATCACATATGTTTTAATAGCATGATTAAGCATTAAATTTATAATTTTATAACAAAATTAATTAGCAATATTTTACATATAAGTCGAACTTGTTATATAAATATCCAATAATGCAGTCAATCTGCGGAAAAGTGGAGAATTGCATTATTTGATAAAAAAATATATGTATAAATGTTTTAACCGTCAAATATTTTGTTATGCGATTAATACGAGTTAACTATTATACGTTTGCAAACAACTGGTTATTAAAAGATTGTAATACTTTTTTCCAATGACTTTGGGGTGTGCAAAAATTTTGATGCGAATCACTACCTCTGGCTACAGTTACGATAGCTGTCAATTCTGCATCACTTTGATAGCTATCATAACCATTTACTACACGTATCCAGAGATAGACATTCTCATCACAATGATTCGCACTTGCATTCCAAAAATAAAATAAAAATGATACAAGTAACCAACTGCACATAGATTATTAATTATTATAAATTTATTATTACAGATATTGTAGATAAATTGTTATAGATATTTACATAAAATTATAAATGTAAAATACTGTTTACTTTCGCAATACATCTACATTACTGATACATGCTTTAATAACAATTTCAGTTGGAGTTTAATATTATAAAAATTTATTAGATTTATCAGAAAAATATATAGCGTATGTTTAACTATACAACTTTTCTGAGAGACAAATAAAAAATTACACTTGCACTTTATTTCTACCGTCATGACATCTAGTTTTTAATATAAAAAAATATATAATAGCCATAATAAATATATATAAGCAGGACGTTATTATTTTTTCACATTTTAATTTGCAATTCTTATCTCATTTCTTTTCTTTTAAACAACGATAATTTTCTAAACTTATATATAGCTACACAAAAATTATCTACATAATTTTTATACATCTACATATATGTACACAGTATATTTACATAATTACCTACAATAGCTGTTTACTTTTATATTGCTATCTGGTGTTGTGTTAAATAAAGGGCATACCCAGAATGAAATCGTTGTCAATTGACATTCGATCATTTTTGAAACGGTTAAATCACTTGTAAATTGTTTTTTAGGTCAAAAGCTTTTTCACCGAGTGCTTGCGGAAGTATTTTGTGAATTTCTGTAGCACTTTTAACAAGTTTGTAAAATGCACACACGCTATTCTGTATCATTCATTTTAACGCACGATAAAATTGCAAAAGAGCCAAACACTGTGTAAACAAATCGCTCATAAAAAAAGAACTTAGAAAAAATCTTAACACCTAAAATGTTTCATATTTAAATAATGTAGATTGTTGTAGATTATCTATCAACACACATATACACACAAAAATTTCACTCTTTCTTAACATTTTCGTTATAATTATATATTTTCTATGTACGAGGGAAGGGGGAATCTCGGTAACAGATACGATATCTTATCGATATTTTCGCAGAAATCAGTAGCAAATACGAGCAGCAGATTCGAAGAGAGAATTTTCTTGAGAAAAAATTTTTTCGACTTGGTAAACGAAGACTGAAAAGATTTCTCCGATATTAATTGCATGTTTAAAAATAATGGGTACAAGATGGTCTTTGATATAGCCTGATAAACGAAATGGCGCAAGAATTATATACTATAATATACGAATTATATGATTCACTTAATTTCATACCAGCAAGTCCGAAAATTTCTACTGCGATCTGCTCAATATTCCGCATGCGCCATCGTGACACATTGGTACGAGTGACAACAAAGGGCGCCTTTTCGGCGCGTCGAGCGTACGTCAAGTACATTATTATCGGCTTCTCGTCGAAACGCGGGCAAGGCGTAACTTCCGTTCCGATAAACATGCACTCGCGACATTTCGGATGCACTTGGAATATATAGGTGTTACAAAATTTTAATGAAGTACCTCCTGACGTGCATACGCGGCGAAATGCGGGTTGCACGTTATGCGTCGGAACATGCACCGTAATTTGTACAGCGATACCGTGTCGATCGCGTGGCCAGAATTTGAGATTGCGGTCTACATGCGACGCACTAAAAGAGAGAAATCCAAATTACAAATTTTATTGAAATAATGCACATCATTCCCTATGAGAATATGAATTTTTAGATTATTGATTTTCCGAAGTTTTACATGCAAAGAGAAATGAAAGAGAAAGTTGTCACATTTTATTTGCAAAATAAAATTGATTATTTTCTGAAATTGAATTATACACCACTCCACTACCTATTTTTAAATCTATTATCTGTTTTCAATTTATTATATAGGTATCTGTTATTATCTATTTATTTTATATCCGTTTCGTGTGAATTCTTACACAAAGCGAAATATATACGGGTAAAGATAAAAATTTATATAAAATTTGTATTGCAAACGTGGCAGAATGTCATTTTATTATATTGTACATAATGAACGCTTAATAAATTATGATTGCATAATTTTACGGAACTCGAAACAAATGCAACTTATTTTATTAAAGAATAGAATGATTGCAAAGTGAAACAGGCATGCTTAATTAATATTCATTCGATGGACTATGAGAATTTTATGAGAAGTTTAGTTACATTATAAATTTTATAGAAGCATGAGCAAATTAATGTGTTATTTAATTTGATATTAACCTTTGACATAGTATTAAAACAAAGAATTAATTCTATTGACATTTTTAATTGTTAAATAAGTACAATGATAGAATATTAATTACAATTTTATTGGCTGGAGTTAATTAAAACTCCATAAAGGTCAAGTACAAATTGTTTTATTTTTTTGTGTTAAGCAATAACCGATGTGTATCAAGAGGCATCATATAGCAAATCAATAGTGTATTGCAAATCACATTAAAATTGTAAAAATGCTTTTTTTATTAATGCATATTTTATTTATGTATATTTATAATAGAATAATAAAAAAATCAATAAATGTGCAACACAATTATATTATATGTATATTAAATCAAAATAGATAAAAGTAAAAAAAAATAGAAAGAAATTATTGATTATCACAAACTTTATATTTAATTTTCAATTTTTTATAGTTTCTAGATATAATTTTCTTTTTTAGTAAAAATTCAAATATATATTTATTGTAAGTAATTGTTTAACGAAAACATTATTTAGCGAATATTAACAAACACGCATGTAATTGTATCGGCATATTTGCCTTTGCTGAATAAATATACTTGTTGCGCCAGTAAGTGGTAGGATTTTATTGAGCTTTCCGTTATCTCTCTCAATTCCGATTTGTTTGCTTTAATTCCAGTCAATTTCGATCAGTTGCAATCAATTTCAATGGTTTTAACTCTACCCGATATCGCGAAATCTCGTTCTACGTTAATTAACTTCACGAATTACCGAGGATTATTCTTGTAACCTATTCAAGCCCAGTGTCCCAAAAACAAGTAACTGTTCAGATGTGCATAAAATGTCATTATTGCAATTCGAGTAATGCAATTATTATTTATATATTATACATAATATATGGGTAAATAGTGTATTCTTGTATCGTGAATATTAATTCATTCTTACTATCAAAATGACTAAAACTCAGAGGATTGAAGAAATATTATAAGTCAATGAAAAATATCGATCAATCTAAGACAATATTAGCCAATGTTAAATTCACTAACAAAATTCATCAAGATACTGAATTATAATAACGACCTTAAATCACATTTTCGTACCTTTAAAATTAAAAATTAAATGTAATTTTTTATAGTCAATTTAAAATTAGAACGATATTTTATCATAAAAAGTTCATTATTCAATATACGCTTGCATTGCTGTAAAATAATTAAAATCACTTGTACAAAAATAATTTAATTCTTAAATTTCTTGTTAATTTTATAAATCTCTCTCTCTCTCTTTCTCGCTTTTTCTTTTTTTCACTTTCTCTCGATCAACAAATCATAAATATAATAAAAGCTAATGCCATGCCGTTATTAATATATTACAGAGATGTATATTGCTTTATTATCTGGGGGTAAATTCGCGAGTCCTTCGACACGTGCGCGAGCGTGGGC